TCACTCTGTAAACACAAGCATGTATGTGAAGCTCTTCTATCACAGTAAACACAAGCGTGTATGTGAAACTATCTTTTCACTCTGTAAACACAAGCGTGTATGTGAAACCGTTCTATCACTGTAAACACAAGCGTGTATGTGAAACTATCTTTTCACTCTGTAAACACAAGCGTGTATATGAAACTCTGCTATCACAGTAAACACAAGCGTGTATGTGAAACTCTGCTATCACTGTAAACACAAGCGTGTATGTGAAACTCTTCTATCACTGTAAACACAAGCGTGTATGTGAAACTCTTCTATCACAGTAAACACAAGCATGTATGTGAAACTCCTATCACAGTAAACACAAGCGTGTATGTGAAACTGCTATCACTGTAAACACAAGCATGTATGTGAAACTCTTCTATCACTGTAAACACAAGCGTATATGTGAAACTCTCCTATCACAGTAAACACAAGCGTGTATGTGAAACTATCTTTTCACTCTGTAAACACAAGCGTGTATGTGAAACTATCTTTTCACTCTGTAAACACAAGCGTGTATGTGAAACTCTGCTATCACTGTAAACACAAGCGTGTATGTGAAACTCTTCTATCACAGTAAACACAAGCGTGTATGTGAAACTATCTTTTCACTCTGTAAACACAAGCGTGTATGTGAAACCGTTCTATCACTGTAAACACAAGCATGTAATTGAAACTCTCCTATCACAGTAAACACAAGCGTGTATGTGAAACTATCTTTTCACTCTGTAAACACAAGCGTGTATGTGAAACTCTGCTATCACTGTAAACACAAGCGTGTATGTGAAACTCTTCTATCACAGTAAACACAAGCGTGTATGTGAAACTATCTTTTCACTCTGTAAACACAAGCGTGTATGTGAAACCGTTCTATCACTGTAAACACAAGCATGTAATTGAAACCGTTCTATCACTGTAAACACAAGCATGTAATTGAAACTCTCCTATCACTCTGTAAACACAAGCGTGTATGTGAAACTCTCCTATCACTGTAAACACAGGCATGTTTGTGAAACTCTTCTATCACTGTAAACACAAGCGTGTATGTGAAACCGTTCTATCGCTGTAAACACAAGCGTGTATGTGAAACTCTCCTATCACTCTGTAAACACAAGCGTGTTTGTATGAACATATCATTCATGTTTATTTCTGTGCATTCAATCCTAGACTGCCTTGCAATTCGTAAATTTGGTTCATATTCATTATCCTTGATTTCAAAGAGATGTAACTAGTTAGTTAAACAAAGATACTGGAAGTCATGATGACTAAAACATCATTAATGGAAGCCATCTTGTACATTGACTTATGTATTGCTGTTCAGTGTTCATTATTTTTCAACATGGAATGCAAATATTAGACAAACTTGCCAACGATCTGTTTTACAGAATAATCTGTTTTTAGTTCACAGATGTATCAAACTAATCTCCTCACAAATCTGAATTTCCTATACAGGTCAGATGAACCCAAATAAAGCCATACTGTGAAATTGATTAATATCAAACTTTTATTTGAAATAAATTTCATTACCCTCGGGATCAGTCAAACTAAAAATCAATTCCAGTAAATTACCATGGCCGTGCATACATAGAACGGGAAGTTCCAATCGTGTCAGTGCTTGTGATGTACTCAGACGTGGAAACGACACATGCGATTTAGCTGGACTAAAATAAACCATATAATTTTTATTAATATGAGTCTACTCATGTGGGAATAAATATGTGGAGCAAAATTGTTCATGAGTATAGAAATTATTAAACAATTACCGTACCTATTCATGTGGGGGGGGGGCTTATGGTCGAGACAGGGGAATTTTAATTGTGCTTCATAAAGTGTTTACTGTTGTAGAATGACATAACAAATAATTATGTGAAACATATTTTATAAATTGGTACTTTCCCTTTCTTACTTTTTTGTGAGACAGTTTCACCGTCCACAAAAACTCAAAATCATTTTGTCAAATGTCTGTTGGAAACACTGATCTAATATACATGCATGTATACGTTACGGTGAATAGTGTGGTTTGTAATAGCACCCGTAATTGCATTTATACATAATGCATTTAGTATCAATCCATTAAATCACCACCACCCCCCCCCCCCCGCGTATATATTGAGAAAAGGTTTAATACCTTCTAATAGCAACATAGTGTTAACATTTATCTATATTTAGATGTACATAGATACTAGATTTCAGGGGGTGTACAATGCAGATATCATTCAAAGATAAATGTAATTGTTTTGTGTTTTTATAAAAGTATATTAGAAAGCAGGTGAATTATTTCTTAGATCTCACTCAAACTTCACACATATATCATGTATCTTGGGATCTTAATTACAAACTATGCTTTTGATGCATATTACTTTATTTTTGGCATGAATAACATTTCCCTTAATTCCAACTGTGACTATGTCAATGACTTGTTTTATGTATTTCTCAAACTTGATAATTCACAGGGGCTATGTAATATAAATACTTGTTTCACGTATTTCATCAAATTATCAAAACCTTCAGCCAGTGGAAAATTCTGTCCATTTGGTTATAAATTAAATTTGAAAATAAATGTTACATCAGAATCTGATATATGAAAATTTGAAATATGAAAAATAAAATTAACAACCCATATCCCATTTGTTAGTAAGCAGGCTTGAGCTACATGTAGTAAAGCAAGTTTTCACTTTATCAATCACTGAGATCACAATATTCAGATATTTTTGGTTTCCTGTCATAATCCACTCAATGAATTAAGGAGAGCACTGACTTAGAATTATAAAAATCTACCCCCTGTTATAGATAAATGCTCAATTTTAACAAATATACCTACGTGGTCAAAGCAAATGATTTTAAACTGTGATTACTATGCTGTAAATATGACAACAAAATAAGGCTTCTAAGTCTACATTATATTATGATATACATTGTAAATTGCCTGTGAATTTTAAATTTAAAAGGGTTATTTGTAACATCAATGATGAAACCATCCATTAATAATGTTTTGATGTGTAAAGTGCCGCTGTAGTCTTAAATTGGCTGATTTATGGGAAAAATCACTTAGATATCTGCTGTGTTAGTGGATAATTACAGCAACCTCGGTACTTCTCATTCATGGTTTGTAGTCTCAGATTTATATTCTGTTAAATTTCTCACGTAATAAATTTATGTGAAACTTGTCAGTATAATTTAATTAAAATGGGAATTTTAGGACAAAACTGTGCATTGGTGATTGCATTCTAGAAATTCATTAAATGAAAACATCCAAAGTTATAAATGAGGCATGTCTTCATTTTTTGTGTGACAGTGCAAGTGATGTCATCATTCTTTGTGTGTCATTGCCAGTGATGTCATCATACTGTGTGTGCCATTGCAAGTGATGTCATCATACTGTGTGTGCCATTGCAAGTGATGACTTTATATGTGTGCAAGTGATGATAAGAAGTGAGCATTGTAGAAATACCACCATGGATTTTGTTTTGATTTGAGATGTACACAGAATTTTTCTGATTGCCTTTTTTAAAGGTTGAAATATAATTCATGATTATTACATGATATCACATTATATTTACTCTTTGTGTTCTGGAGATTCATATTTCAGCACGAATTAGATTTTCCATATAATATTTCATTTTACATGGTTCTATTGACTTAGTTATACCATAAATGCAAATACGTATGATTGTATAAGCACATTTTGTACAGTTTTTATCACGAAATAGCTGTTGTTATATTTTCCATTAAAATACTTGATTATATTTGCAATGTGAGATGAAAGGAAACGTGCGAACATGAACGTTCTATGTATAATAACAGTATTTGTAAAAATGTATCACTGTGCATTTTATATATAAATTTAACTCTTATGTTGTTGCCATGGTGACAAACACAGCATTCGTGACAATCCTAGTTGCATACCAGTCAGAATAATGTGTCTATACATTGTATGTGTCTCCAGGCAATGAAAATACTGTCAAAAAAGAAGTTGATTAGAAAAGGTGGATTTTCGAGTAAGTATAATTTTTTGATTAATTCACGTCACCTCGTAACATTTTCATTTTTGACTTGTTACTCTGCACATAGGGGCATATTGCAAGTTTTCCCTATTAATGCCAAGAAAAATGGTATGCTCCCCCTTTTTTTTGGTTATTGTTGTGAAATTCGTTTTTGTCATTAACAAAAAAAGAACACACATATTTCCCATTTGTGAATGCTGACCGAAATCTTATTTTGAGGATATGTATTTTTGTAGTTGTGGACTGCAAATATAATTTCCCAGTTTTTAAAAACAATTGTATTCAAGATTGCAATTTAAATACCCTAGGCTTATCTTATCTCAGTGTACGTAAATAGACTCAATACAACCAGCATTCCTTATCTCAATCTTTACAACCTGCAAAGATGCAACTTCAAAAAGTCATTCCGACAGTGACCAATCACTTGTTTGGGTAACAAATTCAATCTTACTCCCAATATTACTTTAAACCATAATTTCTATCGCTAAAACTGTTTGTGATTTGATCATTTTAAGGTTTATGTGAGAATGAAATTTTGCAGAAATCACTCATTTTTTAAAAAGTGAACATTTGTCATCCTTGCCAAAAAATAATCACGAATCATATTTTCCATAGTTTTTCAATATTTTTTCTGTTTGCTTCTAAATTAATTACAAAATAATGATATATAATTATGTAAGCATTCAGGCAGTACGAATCGTTTCGACTTCCACTGTACGTTGTTGATATGCATACTATACGATATTCTCATATTACTGACAAATAGTAGTTGTGTGACTAACTAGTGACAACATAAAAACAATTCATTATTTGACATTTTTTTAACACAATATTAATATTAGAAGGTGACCGATTGGCTTTTATTTAATCTACAATTTAAAATGATATTAATTTTGTGTATGAACAAAACATTGCTTTTTTTTTTTAATGAGACCTTAACTTAACTATTCTTTGAATATTTGATGTCTGCTCAGTATCATACTATTCTCATTCTCGTTCATTAAGCAAACACAAAAAGGAAATTGGTAAAATACAATTAAAATAAAACTTAATTAAATTTTGAAATCCTGAATAAAATAGTCATGGTTATTTTGTCTGTTGTAGGCAATAGGAGTAGAATAACATCCTTATTAGATTATGTGAATTCAGAGTTCCCTTTGGCTATATTACTTAATATGTATTGGATTTCTAAATTGTCGTTCATAGTTCAAAGTGTTCATGGATACAGGTCAGCAGTGGATCTAAGCTGCCTGAACTCAACAAGTGACTGCTCTTTGATATTTATCGCTGTTAAATTAAGAATAATTTGTTAAATTTATTGTTAGCTATTAAAATAGTCAAGTGGCTATTTCTCCATGTATTAGCTATAACAATATTCAAGTGGCTATTTCTCCATGCATTAGCTATTAATTTAAAATAGGCAAATGGCTATTTCTCCATGTATTAGCTATTAAAATAGTCAAGTGGCTATTTCTCTATGCATTAGCTATTAAAATAGTCAAGTGGCTATTTCTCTATGCATTAGCTATTAAAATAGTCAAGTGGCTATTTCTCTATGCATTAGCTATTAAAATAGTCAAATGGCTATTTCTCTATGCATTAGCTATTAAAATAGTCGAGTGGCTATTTCTCTATGTATTAGCTATTAAAATAGTCAAGTGGCTATTTCTCTATGCATTAGCTATTAAAATAGTCAAGTGGCTATTTCTCTATGCATTAGCTATTAAAATAGTCAAGTGGCTATTTCTCCATGTATTAGCTATTAAAATAGTCAAGTGGATATTTCTCCATGCATTAGCTATTAAAATAGTCAAGTGGCTATTTCTCCATGTATTAGCTATTAAAATAGTCAAGTGGCTATTTCTCTATGCATTAGCTATTAAAATAGTCAAGTGGCTATTTCTCTATGCATTAGCTATT